ATTTGGGATGTGTGAGGGGATTCGATTCAAATTTTAGTGGTGGCCGCTCTTATCGGATCAGCCAAAGAAATTTCTTGTGAAACATTTCAGCTACGTTGGAAAACATTGAAAATGGAAAAATCGAAAGAAATGTTAAGGGAAATAGAAAGTTAGTGAAAGAAATATGTAAGTAGTTTAGTTTAGAAAATGGAAACGAACGAGAATACTCGTGAGTTTTAATCTTTTTGAAGTTCAAATCGAATTAGTTATCAAATGCGAGCTTTGAATATGCGATAAGTAGATATATCCAAGACTCGAATTCCATGATGGTATCGTATGTCACGTTGTATATTCGTATTACTCATACTCTATTTCTAGTAGAGTGTAATCGTATCTAGCTCGACATGTCGCCGACACAAATCTATGACAAATCTTTGACTAGTTTCCAATTTGTCTTCGTAGAGAGTATACGCCAATGCAACAAGTTTCGAATTGATCATCTAATGCTAATACAAAGATGTAAACACTGTGTTAGGATATCCTCTTTCTCTCACAGTCAACACCTGCTGTGTTATTTCAATTTTTCAATCGATTACAAATAATTCTCCGGTGTTACGAATTTCCCATCCTTCGTAGAAAACGAATTGTTCTTCTTAAAAAGTTCTCCCTACTTACGAAGTAGAACTTATTCCATAGAACTCAGAAAGTTTTCAAATATTCCGGAATGCACTTTTCTATTGGCGAAAGCAACGCAATTTCATGGAATCGACGACGTCGGAATATCTGATATGGTATCTCGATTTAACCACTTTAATTCGAGTATCTCGGTACCAAACTTTACCCGTTTGATATTTTTATCTAACGAAGCGAGTACGATCGTTGATATCACATCGCGTCATTTTTTATTTTTCTTATTTTTCATTATATTCTTTCTTCCTCGATGAGGAGACCAAATTTACTGTGCTCGGAAATGATAAACGATTATCGTGGATCTTGCGTGATGAAGAAATGAAAGTAGGGATTAAGGGATTAACGAATGATAATTTTTTTTGCCGATAAAAATAGAGAGAATATATACTTTGATCTCACAAAGAATGTTTCGAGAGTATAACTGATATGTAAAATGCATTCTGTCATGTCTCTCAAGAGGAAAATCAACGATTGGCTTGTTATTCGGTTAACCTTTCTTTCTGATTTCCATGTCTCATGTCATTTTCTTTCTTGAAACTTGCCGAATTACCACAAGTCTATCGATAATGTAAATGAGAGAGAGGGGGAAAAGGGGGTGAACGTGGCTGGTCAAACAAGAGACCGTTAAAGGCATCTCCGATATCCGTAGCTTTGCAATCAAGTGGACTCGTTTATTCCACATCGCTTTCTTCTTCTTCTTCTTTTTCTACTTTTTCTTTTTCTTTTATCTTCTACGAGCTTACCTTTTTCCCGTAGGAGCGAACGATTCGTGTCTCGAATCTCGCCAAGATAAACTCGAAAGAAAGTTTCGGAAAACGAAACGATACAACTCGCTTATTACTCGATACCTACCCTAACTAAACCTGGGTACGTTTTCATTAAAAATCACGACACGAAAGAAGCTTGATTAATTTTGTTTTCGCACTTTTTCCCAGAAATCTAGAAAAATTACGAAGCGATGGCGATCTCAACTGACGTTCGGTACGTTCGGTCCTATAAAATTTTGATAAGTGTACGCGAGTTTCGCCCACTAAGAAAGTGGGCGAAAAGTTTGAATGCACGAGAGAAGTTTAGATCCGGTATTGAGTAGACTCGAGTCACACTCGAGGATTAAGTGAATCGACTCGTATGAGTCTCCAATCTGGAAAGTTACGAAGTACTCTTTGATGGTCAAAAACGATGGTACTCTTTCTTATTTCTTTGCTTATTTGTTTATGACAATTTGTTTTCGATGTGAAGGAAGATTCTTTTTCTCTCTTTCATTTTTTTTCTCTCTCTCTCTCGTTCTAACGAGTCAATGCTGACGGTAGATACGCGCTCTTTGTACCATCGTAGAGGCCGTTTCGAGATAAATTGAGCTTTCAAGGAGGCTGCTTCTACGATTGCCGTATATGTGAATGGGTTTGCAGTGCTTCCAGCGAGGTGAGAGAAAAACGACAACGGCCCCTTTTCTTTCCTCTTTCACCCACCATCGAACTACCCATCTACCTACCTACCTACCTACCTACCTACCTACCTTTTTCACGCACACATTCCTGAAACGCTCGATATGCAAAATCGCTGAATACGACCGTAAAATGCAGGCGGCATGTACGCCAATATGGCGAGTAGTGTGAAATCTCCAATGTTTTATATGTATGTCTCTCTTTTTTTCTCTCTCTCTCTCTCTCTTTTTCTCTCTCTTTCTCCCTCTTTGTGTGTATATGGCATAGAGAGCTCTGTATATTTTTTTTTCGTTATTTAGTTAACGTTTAAATTTATCGACAAAAGAGAAGAGAAAAGACCAAACTGATCTATTTCACAGACTTTCAAGATGCACGTCGATTCAACGAAAAGCTCCAGACGAGATAAACTAATCCGTATAAGCTCGCAAGTTTTGAAGAAACCGAAAGCGATGGAGATGTGTTTCAAGTTTAATCCGTTTTCCTAAAACTTTGTCCGTAATTATCATCGATGTTTCTGACGTCTGAATTATTGTAATTTGTTAAAACATGGCGTTCTCTTTTCCTTCTTCTTTTTTTTCTTTCATTTCTTTTTTTTTTTTTTTTTTTTTTTTTTTTTTTACAATTTTACACAGATTTAAAGAAACGAAGAAAGATTCGAAAGGATGTTAAAAATCTATTGCTAGCTAACGCGCTTCGCGCAAATTCTTCGAAAGCGAATCCAGCGAAAATCGATATCGTTGGAACTCTCGAAAGCGCTCTTCCGCCTCGGCGTTTGTTTAACAGTACTGACAGGCGGCCGTGAAGCGTTGAATTTCCACTCGTAACCGTCGAACGATTTTCGACGATCGTTCTCGTTCGGTGCTCTGCGTCGATCGAAATGTCTCATTTCCTGAATCGAAACCAATTTCCGTGGCTACCCCCCATCGTACATTTGAGAATAAGATCTAACGAAAACGAGATCGAGATTTGCAAACGATTCGATTCAAATTATGAGCATTGTGATATAAAGAACATTGTGAGATTGAAGAAACGCCAACAGTTCTTCTCCTCTCTATCTTTTTCTCTTATTTTTCTTCCCTCGTCGATCTTTCTTTCTTTCTTTCTTTCTTCTTCTTCTTCTTCTTCCTTTTTTCTTTTCCTTCTTCTCTTTTCTCTCTCTCTCTCTCGCACTCCTTACTTTGTACACCGTATCCCTTCACAACGTAACGAAGCGAATTCTTTTCCTCGTTACTTCGGATACCTCGTTACCTCGACGTGTTCAGGATGCAATAAAATTCTCCTGTGATCAGAAATTCCTTGCGTGCTTTTGAACAATGAAGCGTGATTAAATTCGAATTTCAAATATTATCAAGAACTTTTAGGATAGCGCAAACGTTGAAACTCTCACTTTCTTCTGTTTTCAATCGATTTCCCTTTAACGGTGTTATTTATTATGTGATGAAGTGGGTATTATTTTATTTATTAAAATACCTATCTTTTCGAATGGATAGAAGAATTAATATATAATCGTGCGATAATGCAACGATCTGTTAAATAACATTTCTTTGAAAGGTTTATTATATAAATCGATTCGATTTATTTATCGCAAGTTTTCTCAAAATTTTCTAAAAGCCTATTTATGTTTTTGTGTTAACAAAAATTTCTTTATTACCAAACAATTGATCAAAGGTAAGTTATAAGACTAGATAACAGGAATCGTTATCAGGCATTTTAACGAAATAATCTTAAAATTATTACATGGCTTTCGATAGTCACATTAATTTTGATCCATCGAAGAAGATTAACGAAATATATTGATAAGCCACTCTCTCGACTTGCATAGCACATCGTCGATATGTGAGACCATTGTCAACGAAATGAATAATATGAATAATATGTCGATACCAAATATCGCTAGCGATAGAGAATTAACGCACGATTTGGTCGAATGTAAATTTGATCTTTGCGCACGCATAGAACGAAATGCGCACTTAATGAGGCGTAAATATTGTCGCGATTGATTTGCCATATAAATCTGATCGTGAACTATTGATGCCTGGTTGTGCATTTTTCTATCGCCTCGTTTCTCGACTTTCGTCTTTATTCTTCTAAAAGCCAAAAAGAAAAGTCAATATCATATTCCCGTCGTCGTGCCAACGATGTGTGTATATACTTTGCCAAAAACAGGTCGATGTCTTAAGGAGGCGAGCATCGGCCAAGCGTGAGTTGGAAAAACTACGATATGGAAGGAAACGAGGGGATAAAGGATGAAGTAAAAAGGGTGAAGAACGGAAATGAGAGAAAGAAAGAAAAACAGAGGAGGACAAAGTAGGAAGGAGTGACGTGGAAGGAAAAGAGTGACTGAGTAAAAGAGAGAGAGAGAGAGAGAGAGAGAGAGAGAGAGAAAGAGAGAGAGAGAGAAATACCGCCGGCCCGTTTTGTGGAAGCGTCGACACACACGTTTGTACGGTGGGTTGCCCGACAATAGGCATTGTGCACCCGCCATAACCAGGAACCGAACGCGACAGCAGCACGCCGGTATTGTCCGAGTGTCAGGCAGCCTTTCCCACGCTGCCCTCTCCTCCACCCCCACCCATCGACCTCGACACCTCGTTCTTCCGTCTCTCGTTTAACCCTCTCTCTTTCTCTGCCACCCTTCATCCCCCTCTCTCTCTCTCTCTCTCTCTCTCTCTCTTTCTCACTTTTTCCTCGAATTACTTATATTCTTTTTCTTTTCATTCAGATAATAGTAGCAGCCGTTTGGAAATCTTTCGTCCGCCAATGTCATAAAGATTCCAAGCTTGCTATTTGCTATGAATCGTGTTCGAATATTATCGCGATGATAGCTCACGTTTCTGATATATATTGATAAGGAAAATGGAACGAACAGGTATGTGGGGGCCGATT